TGTGCTGGCACATTCTGGATGCTTCATGCATGTTCAGTCACGGGCCAGGCCTGTTAACAGGATGCCCAGTTAAACTTGAATTCCAGACAGACAACGAATAATTCTTTTTAGTATCAGTATATCCCAAATATTGCATGAGATATACTTTAACAAAACAGGCACTGCTCATCTACATGGACTCCTCATGCAAAACGCAGGGTCTGGGCTGCCCCCAGCTCATGGATGAGGAAACTGAAGCTCAGAGAGGTGATGTGACTTGCCCCGGGGCCCCAGGGTGAGTGTCTGGCCCGCAGCCTTACCAGCTCGGCCTGGCACTGGCGGAAGCTGGCGTTGATTCGGTCCAGGTCACGGCGGCTCGTCATCAGCCTCTGCATGAGGGTGTCCCTGGCGCCAGCAGTGATGTTGAGCTCCTTCGACAGGTTGGCCTGGGTGGCGGTCAGCCCCAGCACCTGGCTGTACAGGCTCCCGGCGCGGCGCTCGGTGGCCTGCAGGTTGGACTCGGTGCCCACGTGCACGTTGCCATAGACCATGAAGAGGACGAGGCCCAGGATGATGAGGGACTGGATGAGCGAGACGAAGAGAAAGAAGTAGCGAAGGTAGTACCAGCAGCCCCTCGGGCCGCCCCCCGCCCGCGCATACGGTCCCCCGCGCTCCATGGCCAGCCCCATCTGCCCGGCGCGCTGGCCCTGCCGCGGTCGCCTCGCCCTCCGGGCCGCCGCAGGGGGGTGTTTATATTACTCCTCTTAATACTTCCTCTGCCTGGCTCCTTCCTGGCCGGGAGGAAACGGGGGCTGTGGGTTATCACAACACTCCCACCCGGGCTGTGAAGGGCGGGCGGGCGGGGCGCCGCCGGGCTCTCCGCCCCTCCTCCTCGGCCTCTCTGAGCCTCAGTTTCTCCGCGGCCCTTGCGCTGTGCCGGGCGCTGTTCTCAGCACTTGCCGTCTATCATCCCACGTCATCGTCCCGTCGAGCGGCCGGGGAAACTGAGGCCCAGCGAGGAGAAAGGGCCGCCCCGCGAGAAGGGGTCTCGCGCCTTTGGTCCACAGAGCCGGATGCCCTCCCGCCGGTGGCTCGAGGCGCGCCCCTCGCAGGCGCTGCTCGCTCGCTGTCCCCCTGCCCGCCGCTAGCCAGGCGCTCCCCAGGGGCTCCGGCCGGGGCAGCCGCGGGAGCTCGCTGACTGACCGGCTCTGTCTGCCTCAGTTTCCCCTCTGTGGGACGGGCATGCCTGGGGCGCAGTGCCAGGGACGGGCTGTGGAAGGGGTTCGCTGTGGTCGCCGTTGCTGTCATTTGCTGCTCTCAGCATGGTCTGGGGCTCGGTGAGATGGCAATGGGAAATGCCAGGCAGGTGGGGGTTGACCTTCACTGCGGGGCACCCAGGCCGGCATGGAGGGGATGTGGGCACCAAGAAGCAAAGGATTCTGGGTGCACCCTCCTGCCCGTCCCCTCAGAACCAGGAGCTCCAGGGAAGCCCCCTGCTGGGTGATGCCCCAGCCCAACAAGAGGTGTCAGCCCCAGGCCTGGATGTGAGGACCCTCAGTCTTGAGGAGACAGAGCAGGACCATGCCTTATCCCCACAGGGTCAAGGTTGGCAAGAGAGAGGGACTGGGCCCAGGGGAAAGGGGCAGGGAGCTTGACAGGCGCTGGACCCTGGACAAGTGACAATAACGGTTGCCACCCACTGCCTCTGGGGGGCACAACAGGGTGAAGGCTGTGCAGGGGGACCCACCCCTTCAGCCAGGGCAATGGAGTGGGGTAGTGGACAGCGGGGAGGGGTCCTTCAGGGCCGTGTTCATCAGGGAGGTGGGGGTTGGGCCGGGAAGGAGGAAGTTCCCAGGGGTGGGCAGGAAACCCCTGTCTGACCTTTGGTCTTTGCAGCTACACGGTGATTCCGGACCCTTCCCAGTGGCTAGTAGGGGAGGAGGGTTGGGGGCTGCAAGTGTGCCCAACCAGCTATTTCGCTCGGTTGGCCAGGCCCCCTCAGGGTCCCGCGGAGCAGCGGGAGGAGGACACCTTCCATCTTGCTCACTGGGGCCGGTAGGCAGAGTGAATACACGCTTACAATGGAGGGCTCTAGGGTTAAGTTCTGGCTGTGCCTCCCACCACTGTGCGGCCTGGGACAAGGGGCTTCCTCTGCTTGAGCCTCAGTCTTCTCCTGCCTAAAGTGGAGGCAACATAGCCAGTTGTGAAACGCTTGTCACAGTGCCTAGCACATACTCAGCCTTAATAAATGGTGTTTTTTTTTTTTAAGGTGGGAGGGGCTGGGTCCTGTGCAGCCTCTGATGCCAGGCTGAGGAACTGAGATACAGGGGAGGGGCACCATCTTCAGATGTGGTGCCCAGGGCCTGTGGGAGCAACGGGGGAAAAGGGGCATGACAGAGGTAAAGCCTGAGTGACAAAGGTCCAGTGGAGGAGCTCAGGCATGGGGGCAGTTCCTGGGTCAACACCAGGAGGTGTGACACTCTTGGTGTGTACTTGAGATCCTGGCTATTCTTCACAATATAGCAAAGGTGTTGCACACATGTATATATGAACAGGACATCTGTTGTCAAAGAAAAAGAAAGGCAACCATAAACTCCCAGAAAATTAAAAAGCCACCCTATACCTGATGGTGCTGACGTGCTACAGTGTTGAGCAACTGTCGCAGCTAAGAAAAAGCATTTTAAATATACACACTAATGTCATTTGTATCAAGCTCAAAAATAATATTCTGTTTCTTTTTGGCAATTTGATCTCACATCTTTGATCTGTAGTATTTCTTTTTTGAATAACTTGTTTTAATAGCTAAGTTTTTTTTAATGGAAAAGGTCATGATGAAACTTCCTCTTTTCCCTCAACATTATGTCTTCGAGATCTGTTTATTCCTTTTCCTGCCATTTAGGTTTGCACCACAGACATCACCATAATAATTTTCAATGGGGATTTAGACTGTTTCTAAATTTTTTGTCTCAATGAACTAAATAAGATTTGATATCAAATCCCCACAAATGAAATCCCTGGGTCTCAAAGCAGCCACGTATCACATTTTGACAGCTGTCACCAATTTGTCCTCCAAAGAGGTTTCCATTGACATCCCTGCCAGCAGTGTCTAAAATCTCTAAAAACAGACTTTTTTTTTAAGATTTTATTTTTCCTTTTTCTCCCCAAAGCACCCCGGTACATAGCTGTACATCTTAGTTGTGGGTCCTTCTAGTTGTGACACATGGGACGCCTCCTCAGCGTGGCCTGACGAGTGGTGCCATGTTGGTGCCCAGGATCCCAACCCGCGAAACCCTGGGCCGCCGAAGCAGAGCGCGCGAACCCAACCACTCGGCCACAGGGCCGGCCCCTAAAGACAGACTTTCTGAACACGTTCTGCCTACATCCCTAGCCAGAAAATTCCAGAGGAAGGAGGCGAGCGACTGACTGGTCCTTGGATTCACATGAGGTCAAATGCATCAGCCCTGATATGGAGCGTTTGGTTTTTTCCTGAAAACAGTTTATCATGTTCACAGGAAATTTTGTGCATGAATCCCTCTGAATTCCCCTGGTGGGTCATCACAAAATCAGGCTTCGGTTTTAAACTTTTAAAAAAAAATTAAAACAATCAAGTTGGTTTCATTTGTTTGGGCCGAGAAGGGACAACTGTCCTTGGGAAGCCACCTCTGTGTCACTCTCTGAGAAGCGACACTGAAGTTCCCAAGGAGACACGAGGTTTTTAAAAACTCACACAGGGGCTGGCCCCGTGGCCGAGTGGTTAAGTCCGCGCGCTCTGCTGCAGGCGGCCCAGTGTTTCGTCGGTTTGAATCCCGGGTGTGGACATGGCACTGCTCATCAAGCCACGCTGAGGCAGCGTCCCACATGCCACAACTAGAAGGACCCACAACGAAGAATATACAACTATGTACTGGAGAATATACAACTATGTACCGGGGGGCTTTGGGGAGAAAAAGGAAAACAAACAAACAAAAATTTTAAAAACAAAACAAAGCAAAAACTCGCACAGAACTTCAGGAAGGTCCTTGAGGAAATAATATTTCTAGTGAAGAAAAATTTCAGTGAAGTTCAGAAAACCCTTCACTTTTACATCAATATGTTTGGTTTTTGGGTAAATTCAAGTGAAATTAATTTTTGTGCTTTTGGAGATGACAGAGAAGGCAAAGAGAGCCCTTTGAAGAGGAACAGCCTTTCCTCTCTGAGCCTCCATGTGCCTGGCGATCAAAGGTGACCCACTGTCTTACCTGGAACTCGGGGGCTGGTGTCCCAGGTGCCCCCACGCACAGCTGCACCAGGGCTTCCCATTGCTGCCCCCCACCCTGTCCCTGCAGCCATGAGAGGGGCCTCCAGGGCAACCAGGCATAGGGGAGGCCAGGGCAGGGGCCTGCCAGGGTGTTCTGGGGATAGAGGTGGAGACACAGAGATAAAGAAGGCTAGAGAGAGACTCAGAGACAGAGAGACAGAGACTCTGAGCGATAATTAGAAGGGCCGCGAGAGCAAGGCAGAACAGAACAGCAGGGGCCCGCCAGGGAGGGCTGTCTGCTCCCCTGGGCAGCCTGGGGAGCCTCAGGGCAGCTGGGGGGCCTGGCCCTGTTCTCCACAAGTAGCTCCTAATCCTCACCTCCTCCCTATCCTACGGCCTCCCGGGAGTGCAAAGCCCCCAAGCTCTGCCCTCCATCCTTCCCTCCCTTCCCAGCTCTTTCTGACACCAGATCTGACTGCGCACTTGCTGCTCACACACCAGCCACAGCTCCACATCTCCCTCCACCCCTGGAATTGATATTCACGGCCCGGAGGGTGGGTATGGCCAAGATGGAGACAGCAGAATAAGTGAATAATAATGAGAATGTTTTAGGTCCCATTTACAGCCCTGGGCCCCGCCCTCTATGTGGACCAGCCCTAGGACCCCATAGCTGCACAGTCAGCGGTCTTAAGTTCCTGGGGCTCCAGACAAGGCGAGGCCCTGTCCTGGTCTCAAGCGCTAGATGATTCCAGAAGGAGAAGCTGTTTCCTGCTCACCTCTGGATTTATGCCAGGTATGGGGGGGTCTGAGACCCACTCTCCCAGCCTCTCCAACTCTGGGCCATCAGCGGGCAACAACCGGGTCTGCAGGCTGGGGCGACCCCTGGTGCCCAGCAGCAGAACAAAGCAGCTAGACCCTCTTATCCCCGCCTCAGCCTCACTTCTTCCTTGGGGCGGGGGCCTCCACTTCCCCCTCTAGGTGGGCCCCGTCCCAGGCAAAGGCTCTGATCACGCAGCTCCGAGCCCCAGTTGGTCGGGGGGATAATGAGCAGGACTGGCTGAGGGGGATCCGAGTTCCAAGGGTTCCCACACCCATCCTTACACCAGCCTCTTAGGGATTTTTAAAAACAAATTTTAATTATTTTAATGGTAATACATGTGCATGATTTTAAAAATGCAAACTTTACAAAAAGGGATACATAGAAACACGAGACTGCCTCCCCACTAACCCCAGCCCCTTGGTTCCCACTCCAGAGGCCACAGCTGGGACCAGGCTTTCCTCCACAAATATTTGGATAAATGTCTCCCCCATCCTGCATTTAAAAAATGTACACAAATTATCACTCTCCTGCTTTTTACATGAACGTGTCTCGGAGAAGATCGGCTTTGGCCTTTTAAGCGGTTGTGTAGGTTCCACGCTGTGGCTGGGCAGACACTCACTTCAACAGTCCTGGATTGGTGGACACTGAGGGTGTTTCCAATTTTTTGCGATTACGGAGAATGCGGTGATATGTCCTCATTCCCCCCACCCCCGACTCTGTCTCCTTTTTAAAAGTCAACTTTTTATTTTGGAATAATTTTAGATTTACAGGAAAGTTTCAGAAATAAATTTAGATTTACAGAGAGTCCCTGATTCACCCTCCCCCAGCTTCTTCCATAGTTAACATCTTTTATACCATGGCTCATCTGTCAAAACTGAGAAATTAACCTTCGTACATTACTGCTAACTAAACTCAAGACTTGATTGGATTTCCCCACTAAGTGTTTTCCTGTTCCAGGCTGCAGCCCTGTGTTCTGCATTGCATTTAGTCCATCATTTTGTATGCAAGTAAATATGGCCGCAGAAAAATTGCTGGAAGGGGAATTGATGGGTCAAACAGTGTGTGTCCTTTTAATTTTGAGCGATTCTAGAAAATCGCCCTCTCCGGTGGGTGGACCAACGAGCGGTACCACCAGCACTGCGTGGGATGGCTTGTTTCCTCACAGCAGTACCCACACAGTGTATTCCCAAACTTTTAATTCAATTTTATTTTTATCTTGCCAAATGAATGGGTAGAAAGTGGTACCACATTCTTGTTTCATTTTGCATTTCTTGTCCAGGAGTGAGACTGGCTTTTTTGTATGTTTCCGTGAACTGGCTATCCATGTTCTTTGCCCATGTTTCTAGTGAATTTTTTTGAAAATTAATTTTTAAGAGCTCCATAAATAAAAAGGAAATTAGTTTATTCCCAAGAATAGATATCTAAAATGGGATCTTTCTTTTCTTCCAAAGGATTTTCTAGCTAGTTGTTTATATGCAGGAAAGTTTCAGTTAATTCTCTTGGGTTCTATACGTATAAAATCATACCACCCGCAGACAATATTAGCAGGTCGAATCACTTTTGAGGCATTCCTGCCCAAAATGCCAACCTGAAATTAATCATGAGGAAACATCACACAAACCAAAAACTCTGACTCCACAAAATAACTGGTGTGGACTTTTTAAAAAGTGCCAATGTCATAAAAAGGCAAAGACAGATTCAGGGGGGCTCCAGATTAAAGGAGATGAGAGAGAATTGACAGATAAAATGGGTGAGCCAGGACATTCTTTTGTTATAAAGGACATTGTCAGAACAGTTGGCAAAATCTGACTGAGGTCTGTAGATTAGATAACAGTGCTTTATCAATGTTCACTTCCTGATTTTCATAATTGTACCAGGATTATGTGAGACAACATTCTTGTTTTTTGGACATGCATACCCTAGTATTTATGGTTAAAGAGATATCATTTCTGCAAGTTTTTCATAAAGGTTCAGAGAGAGAGAGAGAGATGGATAAAGCAAAGGTGGTGAAAGTTAACATTTGTGGAATCTGGGTAGAGGGTATCCAGGAATTCTTTGTACTGATCTTCTAGTTTTTCTGTAAGTCTGAAGTTGTGTCAGATACAAAGGTAAAAGACAGAAATAATGTGAAATTGAGCCATGTGAAATTGCGTATATTTCAATTACTTTTGACCTATATAAACAGTGCTTTCATATGATTCAACCTATACATTCTCTTCTTTTCTAATATGTGGACCTCTTATTTCTTTTTGTTAACTAATTGCATTGGCTACTACCTCCAGAACAGTATTAAACTCTTGACAGTGGCCATCTTCACCTTGGCCCTGATTTTGATGTTTTTTCAGAACTTTTCTCATTTGATCCGTTAGTATGGGGAATTTTATTAACAGACTTCCAAATATTGAACCATCCCTGCATCTCAAGCGTAAGTCCCCTTTGTTATATGTTTAAAAAATGTGTTACTTGGTTCTCTTTGCTAAAATTCCATTGAGGAGTTTCCTACCCTCCTCACAGGCAGAGGGGTCTGTAGTTTCCCCATTGTGCCATCTTTGTCAGTTTTTGGTGTCAAGGATAGGCTGGCTCTCTAAACACATTCCAATCATTCATTTTACAGGTAAGGTAAACTGAGGCCTTGAGAGGAGATGTGTCCAGGTCACACACCCTAAGTCCTCATGTCTGCGGGATGAGGGCAACTCTGTTCTTAGAGGGGACTTAAGTCCCTATCAGCACTATCTCACTGTCTGACCAAATGGGCCTCAGTTTCCCTGTCTGTAGAATAGGCACTAGATGGTCAGGGAGAGAGGCTCCAGTCTCCTTTCTGTACCGTTTCCGTTCAGAGCGGCTCCTGGGTCTAAAGTTGAGCGTTGATGGGTGTCGACTGGGCGTCTCATCCAGCGTGGGCCCCTCTGTACGTGTTCCCGCTGGGCCCCTACAGTGTCTGTCCTCCTGGCCTCGAGCCCCCATCCTGCTGGGGGCTGACTCACCCTCGTGCGCGGCGCGCCGGCCGCCGGCAGCCCCCCGAGGGTCCAGGGCGAGAGCGCGAGCGGGGACTGGGTCGGGGTCGGGACCCCGAGCGGGGCCGGGGGTGCAGCACTCTGCGCTGGGGGCTCATCTTAGCTTCCAGGGCTTTACTGCCGGGAAGGGGGGAGGGGCCCGTCAGCACCTGGACCGCCGTCCCCAAGGAGCCCCCCCCCAGCACTATTCCGCCCTTCCTAAGAGCCTCGCTCCCCAGAGATCCCATCCTCCAGGATCCCCCATCCCTTCTCCACCCCGGGCCATTCTCGAGACCCCTTCCCAGGGACTCCCAGCCCCTTCCCCAGAAGCTCCGCCTCCAGACCTCCCGCCGCCCCTCCCTCGTACGCTCTTTTCCTTGCACCCTTCTCTTCCGCTCCCCACCACTCCCCGGGACCCCCACACCCGCCAGACCCCAGGGACCCAGGCCTCCAGAGGGCCAGCCCTAACCTGGGGATTCCCGCCCCGACAGAGCCCGTCCGCACCACAACCTCTAGGTTCCAACTCCAGGACCCTCTCTCCGATCCTCCCCTAACTTATCTCCCCAAGGCCCCGCCCACACGGCCAAGCCCCTCCTCCCTCCCCAGGGACCCTTCACCCCGTCCCCCCCGCGTGCGTTGGTGCACGCCCCAAGTGATGATTGGCCGAAAGAACGAAGCCTTGCGCAGCCATTGGCCGCGCACCCCGCCCGTTCCCCCCTCAGGCCCGCCCCTCACTCACACACGCTCGCGCAGCGCCGCCTCCCGGGCTGCGCAGGCTTCGCCCTCGGCCTCGGCCGTGCGCGCGCGCCGCTGCGCCTCGTCCAGCTGCCGCGCAGACTCCGTGGCCGCCGCCTCCCAGCGCAGCAGGGCTTCTGTGGGCGCAGGGGGCGGGGTCAGGCTGGACGCTCGGCGCGCGGCCCGCGCACGCCGGCGTCCGAGTTTTTGCGTGCTTTGTTTTATTTGAATTAAATTTGAGTGCTCTTTGCGTAACCTTTGAGGGTTATTTGCATAACTCCGCATTGCCTTTCAGAGTCGTTTACATAGCGTTGGCATATTTTGTTGCACGTATTTGCACTGTTTTTGTGATATTTGCATTGCTTTGGCATGTTATGTGGATTTCTTTAAGTTTTCGCGTTCATTTGCATTCGTTTGTATTATGTATACACCTGTGCGTGTCATTAGTGGAGCTAGGAACCTTCTAGGCTCCTCCCACCTCTAGCCCTGCCTACCCCCTTGCGACCCAACGCACCTGTCAGCTCCCCGTTCTCGACCCCCATCTGGGTCCCCTGTGCCTTGGCCTCGTCCATCTCAGTCTTCAGTGTCATCAGTTGCGTCTGAAGCAGGCTCTACGGAGTGGAGGGAACGGGGAGGGGAAGAGTAAATTGGCCCCTCCCTTTCTAGGGGAGATTCAGACGACACTGGTGTTCCCTGAGCTTTACTTGGAATGTCCTTTGGGGCCACACAGAAGTGGCCGCTAAACTCTGGGGTACCGAGTGGTGACAGTGTCTGTGTGGTAGGAGGTCTCTGCCCAGGTCCACCGCCCCCAACGCCAAACCACCGGGGTGTGGAAACGGTTTAGGTCTGCAGTCAGACTCCGGTTCCAATCCCAGCTACACCTAGACTCGCTGACTGGGGTTTCAAACCAACACAAGCCAATTTAGTGGCTGACAGTGATTGGGTTTCTGGGGTATGCTTTGTCACCTCTGAGACATTCTGCAAAGCAACTGGCCTGAGTGTTGAGAGCATCTTCCAGCGAGGGGCGGAGCCAGACTTTGAAGCCGGGGCAGGCTGCCCTTAGCTCGGCCGCCCCGGCCCCTCCCTTAGGCAGGCAGGAAGGGGGAGGGGTCTGTTTTGATTTTGAAAATTCACACGCGCGAGCCGCCGCTGGCCCGGTCCGCAGCGGGACACAGTAGTTCCTCAATAAACGGGAATGGTCGGGCTTTGAGGACGGTTCTTCCGCGAGGTCCGGGGCTGGGAAGGGTTAAGGAGGAGTTTGAAGGGGGTGGCCAGAGGAAGAGGGAGGAGCTGGCCGGTACCTCCCGCAAGAGGCCAACTTTAGCCTCCTAATTACAGGTGACATGAATGTCCCTCTCTGGAAATAGGGCTGCGGAACTGGCTGGGGGCGGTTGAATGGGCACCTGGGGGGAGTGTTAGCACAGGGCCTGCCCAGGTGGGCTCAGGGGTCTTGGGCTTCTCTAGCCGTCACCATTTATCCGGTAAACATTAGCGGACGGTGGGGCCTTCTTGGTCAGGAGGTAGACTCAGGGTGAACCGGCATTGTAGGAGTTGGAAGGGACTACGGTGCTATTCTCATTCACCTCCCTCAACTGAAGAATTGGGTAAGCCGAGGCACAGGCGGGAAGCGTGGGGATGTGGTGCAGGCCCTCTCCCCCCACATTCTGGATGCCCCACCCGGCCCTCCTACCTGGCGGCCCTCACAGGCCCTCAGCGCCTCCTCCAGCTCCCGACGGCCGCCCTCGGCCTGGTCCAGCTGCCTGGCCAGGGCCTCCTCGCGCTGCGCAGCCTCCGCCAGCCGCCGCCGCAGCTCCTCGACCTCGGGCGCCGGGGCCCCGGGCGGCGCCGTGGCGTTGGCCCCCGGCTCCGGGCAGCGAGGCCCCCGGGAGGCCGAGGCGGCCAGATTCCAGGCCAGCAGGGCCGAGCCCGCCGCCGCCGCCGCCAGGAACACGGCGGCCCCGCACAGGGCGAGCAGCCGCCACGCGCGCCCCGGCTCCGGCCCCGGCTCGGCCATGCCGCCGTCCGCAGCTCTGGCCCCAGACGGCCACGAGCATTTAATTGGCACCTTGGGGCGCCAGGGACACCCACTGTTCCGCCCCGCCCGGCCGTGGCTTCCCGAGTCCGTTGGGAGGGGCTGGACCCCCGCCAGGGCCAGCCCAGGCTGCGGGGGCCCAGGCAGGACCGGGGGCCCTGGGTTCCAGTCCTGCCTTTGCAACCCACGTGCTGTCCTCCGAGCCTCAGTTTCTCCTCTGTGAAGTGAGGAAGGCCGCAGTTCCTGCCCCTTAGGACTTAGTGGGAATCACGTGAACACGTCGGCGCAAAGCCCCATCCGCACAGGGTGCGCTCTGAGAGTCTCGCGGTATATTGTCCCCACTGTGTTCATGGAGAAGCCGAGGCTAAAAGATGGGAGGCTACGCGACCTACTGAAGTCGGCCTGCTTCAGGCTGCCACACTTTCTGTGACTGGCTGTGAGGGCCAGAGGGTAGACTTGAGGGTGGACCGGCCCCATCTCCCTGCCCGTTCTCCATTCGGCCGCCAGGGGGCGATCTTAGAACATGAATCAGATCCAGGCCAGTCTACACGGTGTCCCTGACTTCTCTTCCCTCTCAAAATGGAATCTCCTCCCCCGCCTCCCCCCTCATCTCCTCCTGGCCCTCCTCCATGTCCGTCTCCCCTTCCTCCTCCCTACTTCCTCCCTTTCATCTCCTCCCCCTCTATCTCACCCTCTACTCTTTCTTCCCTTCCTAATCTTTCCCCTTTCCCCTGCAAGGCCCTCCATCATGTCTTTGACGTCATTTCCTCCCCATTTGCTCCCTCCAGCCCTCCTCAAACTTACAATGGCAAGCCCATTCCCACCCCAGGGCCTTTGCACTGGCTGTTCCCTCTGCCTGAGCGACCTGTCCTCCCTCTTTGCCCAGCTAACTCTTCCTTACCAGCTGTTTCCACCGTCCACGCCCCCGCTGTGTCTCCTCTTCCGGCGCCCTCCCCTCCCCCACTGACTCAGGCGCCTTTTGTTCAGCTCTCTCAGCTCTGCTGTACCTTTACCTTTGATGTGTTTGGCTGATTCCCTCCCCCCCCCCCCCCCCCCCCCCCCCCCCCCCCCCGGCTGGGTGAGTCCCTGAAAAGCCAAGCGGGCATCTGCCTGTTCCCACTGCCACCGCATAGGCCTGGCACACAGTAGTCTTGCAGTAAATGTGAGCTGGGTGAACACTGGGAACTGGAATCTCAGTGTCCTCCCCACTACACATAAACCGGAGCCCAGAGAGGCCAAGTCTCAGCACAGGGACACACAGCAGCCTCTGCTTGCTGCCAGATTCCTGCTGGGGCTGGAACCCCTCAGGCTTGCAGGACCCCTCAGTCCTGACTACTCAACCCCTGGTGAGCAAGGCAAGAGGGCAATTTTTAGGAGGAAGTTTATATCGTGTGGGGGTTTGGGGGAAGAAACTGAACAGGTGGAATCCATCATATTGGGCGAACATGCCCCCCTCCATCAGCAAAACCCAGCCCCAGTGTTGGGGGCGGAGGGCAGCACTGTGTCAGGACATCCCAGTAGCCCAAGCTGGGGTTGGGGTGGAGGATGGTGAAGGCGTGCTGGGGGACTGGGGTCACGTGAGAAGGCTTTGCCTTGTGGGAATCGAGGGAACCTGCTGGAAGCAGGGGTTCAATGGCCTGAGCAGCTGAGGAAGCCCGAGCAAGCACGGGCACTTCCCTGGGCCTCAGTGTCCTCATCTGTTACAGGGGGAGACGCTTTGATATATTGACGTATACAGGGAAGCCATTCTGGTTTGAACTTGATTTGGCCTGAACTTTATTTGAGCCAAAGAAGCCTGCTGTGCGGGTGTCAGCGCTCGCTGCCCATCTGCTTCACGCGCCCGCGGAGGCAGAGAGCAGCCTGAGGGTGAGAACCAACGCCTCCCTTCTTGTGACGCCAGCACTCGACGGCAGGTCTCCATCCCTGTGGCACCGGGTCACCTGTAACAAAACATCGCCTTGAACCCTGCAAAGGATGCGCCTGTCAAGCTCGATGTAAGTCTCCTGTTGGACGTGACTTTCCGGAGTGCTTTCCTCCTGTGCGAAGGCTGCGGCTCCCTGCCAGGCTACAGGCCTGTGTGGCTCAAATTTCCTCTCTTCTCTTCTCCCCTGTGGAACGCTTCTGGATTATTTGTGTCGACAGTTAGATGGGGCTGTTGGTGGCGTGAAATGATTCGGCCATCATATATGACTCCACGAGCTCCCGCTGAGCCCCGTGCAAGCTGGGGACACAGATGCGAGGGGGACCCGAGCCTCACTCTCTAGAGCAGCGGTCCTCCCCAGAAGCGGTGCTGCCCCCTGGGGACACTCGGCCATGTCTGAAGGCATTTTCTGTTGTCACAACCTGGGGTGGAGGCGCTATTGGCATCTGGTGGGTGGAGGCCAGGGACGCTGCTGCAGTGCCCAGGGCAGCCCCGCCAGAGGCTGGTCCAGCCTGAAGTCAACAGAGCCAAGACTGGGAAACACTGCTGGAGAACTCGGTGGGGGGGGGACCCCACAACATCAGTGAGCAGAGAAATGGTCAGGGAGGGTGGAGCATGGTAAACAAGGTGACGTGAGGGGATGAGAGCCAGAGGGGCCTGTGGCAGGGATGCCATTTGGGGGATCCTGAAAGGACAGTGGGAGCCAAGGAGGGGGGTCTCCTGAACATCTGGTCTGGGGACTGTGGCACCTGAGGGCAGTGCAGAATTCTAGGAAGTCTGGGCAGACGCAAGGGTCCCGGCCCTAGTGCCCCACACAGGAAGGTGCCTGAACAATAGTTGGGATTCCAGGGGAAGTTGGAGGCAGGAAGATAACAGAGGAGGAAGGGATTACGGGGCACGGCACGGGAGGACCCAAGAAAGTGGGTGAAGGGTCGACCGGACAGTAGCCCTCAATTCTGGGGAAGCCGAGACTCTGGAGGAGGGCTTCCCAGAGCTGGGTACTGCAGGATGAGCAAGTTTAGGGGGGAAGGACGGGGGACACTGGGACAAAGGCCTGGCCTGTGTGTGTCTGCAGATGCAGGTTTGAATCCCCAGCCCTGAACTTTCTGTGGGAGGGGTTTGGGAACCAGGACAAGGTGTCCCTCGCTGTCCTTTGTTGCAGCCTCACTTTCCTCACTGGATCCACGGGTGAGAGCAGAGCGCTCTGCTCGCAGTGAGTGCTGACGAGGGCTTGGAGCCTTTTAAGATGATCTCAGCGGGGAAGAGGGCCCAGGAGGCAGTGGGGTGGTGCCTGCCTGAACCTGGGGGGCGGGAATACCTGGGAACGTTCTGGAACAGGGAAGGCTGGGTATGAACATCAGCAGTATCCACCCTAGCCCGCAGGGCAGGCCCCAGATGCTTGGGGATGACAATGACACTCCAGGAACTTCAGAGTAAGGTCTTTCCGCCAAAAGGGGTGTTTACTTTTTTGGAGCCCAAAGACCCCAGAACAAAGTGACCTTCCAGAAACCGTGACAGCAAGAAGCAAGAAGGCACCCTATGCCCTGCCCAGCTCTGGGGTCTGGTGGGGGGCAGCCCTGGGCCAACTCTGCTGCTTCTCTACCCCCCAACGCTGCCCCATGGTCCCCCCAGCAATGCTTCATGGCCCCCCACTGCTACTCCATCCCCCTGCCCCTCCCCCCAGCAGCCTGCAGTGCTCCTGGAACCGCCAGGTCAGGGAAGTCTGGAAGGCAGGGGAACCGGACCAATCCAGGTTGTGACCTAAGAGACATCATAAGAGGGACTCAGGGCAGACTGAGGCAGACAGAGCACGGGACGCCCCGCCCCAGGGCCGCCACGCTCTCGCGGTGCTTTCTCTTCCTCCCCAAGACCCTTCTCCCCTGCGCCCAGCCCCCTACCCCGCAGGCAGGCACCTCCCCAGACCCTGGCTCCGCCCTGACGCCCTCCCGCCCCTCCTCAGCCTTTTGCTCCCCAGGCCGTCCCTGCTTACGGCGGCTTCCTGGGACCTCAGGCCTGCAGATCCCAGAGGCCCAGGGGCAGGAACACAGCGGCCACCAAGGGGCTGAGGGCGTTCGCCGAGCTGGCAGGGTCGTTGTTCCCACCTGAGGCCCCATCATTCCTTTGTCTGGGGTAGAGAGGGGGACGACTCAGGCAGCTGCCGGGCCGGGCTCCCCCAGCTCTGGGCCTGCCACTCCTCGGGATCCCCCCCTCCTTCCCCCACGAGCCCAGTCGCTGGGGAGGATAGTGACAGCGGCCACCCACGGCTGTATGCACGAGGCACAAGGCTTGGACTTAAACTTCGCCCCCTGAGCAAATGGGGGTTTTTAGAACACAGTGGGTCCCGGCTTTTGGGGCAGGGCGGGGGTGGGGGTGAAGGGGCATGCCGGGGGTGGGGGGAGGTCTCGGACCGTAGTCGTTCCACCTCCGCCAGAGCGTTCTGCAACTGCTGCTTCAAAGCCGCCGTGTCTCCTGGGGGGGCGGGGACAGAACCAGGGGGCGTGTCTATACTGTGGCCCCGCCCCAGCCCCGCCCTTATCCGGCCTCCCCTTGGAAATCTGGCGTGCTCCCTTCCCACCCTCCTCTGGATCCTGGACTCGCCCCTCCCTGGGACTCCAACCCTGGGACCCTCCCTCCCCACCCTCCTCAGTATTTCCCCGCCCTCTGAGGCCTTGGGCTCCGCTCACCCTCAAGCTCCTGCACTCGGGCCAGCTGCTCCCGCCTGTCAGCCTTCGCCATCTCCAGGGAAGCCCTCAGGGTCACCTGGGACAGGGGCGAGGGTCTGAAACTGGAGTTCCGTCCTTGGGGGGGCTGGCTGCTGGCCCTGGGCCCTGGGCCCCTCCCTAGGCCCTGGGATCAGAGGAGCTCAGGCCCACACCCCCTTCAGGCCTCCTCTCTGTCCCTCAGTCTCCCACCTCAAGAATGGCCACACCTCCCACCTTCCCAGGGCCACCCAGAAGGGTGTGAGCGTCGAAATGGGAGTTTTGAGACCCCCATCATGGGAATTTGGAGGCTTCCCATGCCCAAGCCCTAAGAGAAATTTCCAGACCCTCTGGGCTATTGCCATTTGTTCTTTGGGGCCTGGCGAGGTCCCCATCCCACCCCCTAGAGGGGATTTCTGCTCCCTCACGCCAGTGCCCTGGAGTTGGAAGATTCCCCACATCCTAGTGGGGATACTGAGGCCCCTGATTTAGGTGCCCTGGGGAGTTTTAAGGCCACGCCCACACCAGGCCCCCCCCCCCCCCGGAGAACTTAGAGGTCCCCAAACCCTGGTGGGATAATTCAGGCTGTTGATCCTGGGGCCCAGGGGCAGTTTCAAGGTCTATCTCCATCCCCACCTACACCCTGCGGCCCGAGCGCAGAGCCCGCTCTAGGAGTTGCAGTGGCTTACCACAGTCTGATTGCAGATGGCAGCCTGGGTCTCAGTCCCCCGTAAGACTTCCTGGGCCCGCCTTAGCTGGTGCTCCAGAAAGTGGGTGCCGTTGCGACACTCCTGCTCTGCTCGGAGGCCATCCTTGCAGGCCTTGCTGTTGGCCTGGACAGCGAAGATGATCGTGGTCACAAGCAGAAACAACACCACCACCACCACCACCACCACCAGGAGCAGCCATCTCAGCAGCCTGTGGTCCCCCATGGGCACAGGCCAATTGTGATAAGAAGTGAGTGCCAACCAGATCTGCCCTTGGATGTGCGAGTCTGGGCAGGAGTTAGGGGCAGATGCTGGAAGCTTCTGTGGGCCGCCCCTGGTTAGCATGGGGGCCGTCCGGACCAATAGCAGGCTTCAGGAACATTTCCTGACCTGAAGGCTCTTAATGGGGACTCTGCTGGCCGTGGGCTGACTTTCAGTTTCTGTTTCCTGCAAGAGAGGTGTTTTTTTTTCTGCCGGATTGTGGCCTCGGGCTCTCCTGGGCTGGGTGCCAGCCTTGAGACCCTGTGGGAGGGGAGTTGGGGCTGCCTGGGACACCCCATCTCAAGTCCCTGCGCTGCTGAGTGCTACTGAGGGTGACAGTTGCAGTTACTGAGTGCCTAGTGCATTGTGTTCCCCTGTGCCACGACCTGAAGTGGCGGGGGCCATTGTTGGTCCAGTCCCCAGCTCAGGGAGTCCAGTTCTCAGTGGGGAAACTGAGGCTGGGTGGCAAGTGGTGGGCTGGGGCCAGGGCCTGGGTCTAACCCAACAGGCTGAGATTTGTGTTTAGGGGTCTCCAGGGTGACCCAGCAGGGGTTCACTCAGCACAGAGGGGACCCAGGACGGTGTCAGAGGAGGGACTGGAGCCTGAGGAAGGGGCGGGGGGGTGGGGTGGGGGGTGGGGTGGGGGCGCGCACGTGACTTAGGCTGCACTTCCCCCATCTGGCCACCAGGGGCCGCCCCAGCCAACAAACAAGGTCGCCCCGGCCCTCGGCGTGGCTCCAGCCGCCCACAGGTTCCAGAATCTGCCCCTGCCGCTACAGGACGCCAAATAAACCCTCGAACCTCAGTTTCCTCATCTGTAGAGTGGACAGTAACAAAAGCAGCCTCATCAGGAGGGGCCGGTGAGGAGCTGCGAGTAAAGCGTCTCTGCATCCAGTAGGCGCTCAATGAATGCTCGGGCCGGGCCTGTGGCTCAGGGCAGGGGAGAGGCGGGTAACCTGCAACGTGGCCGTGGAGCAAGGTGCGCGTTACGAGGAAGGACAATCAGGGCCATCTGGGACACGCCGGACCGGAGGGGCCTGGGGGCGTGTGGGGAGAGGCCTCAAGAGGCGGCTGGAGCCTGGAGGGCGGCTCGAGGACGCTCAGGCCGCACTGGCCGCCCCCGCGGAATCGGCCGGCTCTGGCGGCCTCACAGCTGCCTGCGCTCCGGGGCCTCTGCGGCCGCGGCCTGGCCACCGTGCGGATTCCAGCCGCTTCTGTTGGGTGGGCCGCTGCGGGCGTTCAGCGGGGCCAGGTGGCCGGCCCTGGCCTTGGCCTCCCGGCCATGCTCGAGGAACACCCAGGCCCCTAGTGGGACGTCCCTTTGCCTAGAAGCCCCGCTTTAAAGCCACTCAGGAGCCAAATGACAAAGGGTCGGGGACGATCTTGTGACGAGGCCCAGGGGGAGCTTGTGTGTCCCGTGAGCAGGGGCCTCTCTCCCCGACCAGGACCCCACAAGCAAAGGCACGACCCTGGACCCTCGGCAAAGCTGACTTATTTCAGCCGCTCTCTGCTGGCCTTCAAACTTTAGGGTTGGCGGCTGGCCCAGTGGCTTAGTGGTTGAGTTGAGCACGCTAGGCTCTGGCGACCTGGGTTCGGTTCCAGGCACAGACCTACACCACCTGTAGAGGAAGTGAAATAAAATTGTGGTCCATTAAAAAAACACTTTAGGGTCAGCTTGGGACCCAAGTGCAGGTCAGAGGCCAAGGTTGTGCACGAACAGCCCTGCCTCCCTGTGGGACCCTGGGCAAGTGACCTCCCCTTGGTCTCAGTTTCCGTGGCTGTGAAATGAGGACGATAATGGAACATTTTGGTGCCCCCCCTAAATTTTGTACCCGAGGTAGCCCCCTTACTCACCTCGCTCTACCCGCTCCCTGCAAACAGAGTTTGTGGGTTTTCCTCTAAAATTCCAAATGGAAAGTAATGCCACCATTCTTCTGATTTTAGCTTTATCTTTTGAAGAATGATTTTGTTTTAGAATAGTTTTAGATATTGCAGAAAAATAGTGAAGACAGTACAAAATCGTGCCGTATATCCCACCGCCAGCTTCCCCTGTTTTCTAACATCTTACATTAGTCTGCCACGTCTGTTACAATGAATGAGCCAGTACAGGTGCGTTGTTATTAACTCAGGTCCATGCAGGATTCAGATCTCCTCAGCTTTTCCGTCCCAGGACCCCACGTCACATTTAGTCATCGTGTCTTCTGGGCTGAGACAGTTTCTCGGACTTTCTCATTTGGAGGAGAACGGGTCAGGGGTTCGCAGGATGGCCCCAGCACCGCGGAGCAGGCTCGGACAGTGGCTGCGAGTGCCCTCCTGGGGCCCTGAGGGCATGGGCGGTTGGACCCAGCCTCACATTCTGTGGCTGCGGCTGGGATGGCGCTGTCCTACAGAATGCGGTGACGGCGGCTCCCTCCCGGGGTGTGGTGAGATTCCACAGGTCCGTCTAGGAAAAGTGCTTAGCCCAGCGCTGGTGGCATCTGTCGACCCCAACCCCGTGAGAGCACATCCTCGTTGTCATCTGATAAGGTCCGGATTCGATGGAATTCTTTCCGTAGATTGAATTCCCTGAAATGGGGTGACTGGGTCCCAGGCGATGCCTGTCTCCCTGGCTCTCGCTTTCCCTAAAGAGGAGTCCAGGACTGCGTCTGTTGTCACCGCTGTGGTGAGCAGTCACTTGCCTTTCCGAGCGTGTCTCAGTCATTCTTGTCTTTCCAGCTCCTTCCCCCTCCGTTCTGGCCTCAGCAGCACCTTGTTCTTCGGCAGCAGACTCCTCTCTCTCCTGTAAGACACAAGGGCTCCAGAGTGTCCTCGACCCACTGCGGACACGGCCCCGGGTCCATGGTTGGTTCAGGCAGCGCCGCCTTCTCAGTCCTGGTCTTCCTGACCAGCCCTGGGGCTGAGTGTTGGTGTTCAAAGCACGTTCCGTGTTGGAGGCGGCCTTCTCGAGGACTGCCCAGGAGCTGGCCCTGGCGGCCCGCGGCGCCTCACCCGTCCCTGCCCATGGAACGTGCGTTCCGCCCGCTTTCCCTGCATTAGGAGCCACTTCAAGGCATGACCTTGAGAGAGCACTGTGGTGTTGAGAGCATCTGGATGCAGACCTGACTGGACCCCATTAAGGCTCTTAAGATAAACTCTTAAGATTCTGGCAGGCTGGGAGATCATCTCGTCTTGTGGCCGCCCAAGACAAGCCTCACAAGTAAGTTGCCCTTGCTTATTAAACCTGCCACCTCCCAGTCCGGAGGGGCCTGCCTCTGTCTTCGCTTCCTCCTTTCCCTCCACATATGGGGCCACTATCTTTCTTTTTTTTTTTTTTGAGGAAGATTAGCCCTGAGCTAACTGCTGCCAATCCTCCTGTTTTTGCTGAGGAAGACTGGCCCTGAGCTAACATCCATGCCCATCTTCCTCTACTCTATACGTGGATGCCTACCACAGCATGGCTTGCCAAGTGGTGCCATGTCTGCACCCAGGATCCCGGCCGGCGAACCCTGGGCCACCAAAGCAGAACATGCGCAGTAAACTGCTGTGACACTGGGCCAGCCCTGGGGCCACTTTCAGATTTCACCCGGGGAGCCCCGAGGTTGGGAACTGACAGCTGGTGGGCCAGCCAGGAGACCGAAGAAATGGGGCTTGGGAGAGAGGCATCCTCAGGGGCAGTCCCGGTTTGGCTGTCCACCCCTGCGTTAGGTGCTTGTGGACGTCGCGTGAGTGCAGGGACGCCCCAGAAACACTGGCGGGTCCCGGACGCTTGTTTGAGGAGCTGCGCGTGGCGTACAGCAGCAAAGAAGGGAAGCACACGGCTGTTGCATGGTCTGGCCTGACTCCAGGCGGTTCGACTGGCCCCTGATGCCCAGCTGGAGGTTGCCGCTCAATCAGGAAGTTGGAAGCAGAGCTGAGGCTAGAGAAGGACATGCAGTGTTCTCAGCTCTGCTAGCTTCAGGCCGGCAGGCAGGGTGGGAGAGCAGGAGGATCAGCTGGGGACAGCAGCATGCCATTTTGCAAATCTAGGAGGGCACGAGCTGCCACGGATTAAGGTCTGAGCGCTTGTGACAAAGCCTGATTGGGACACTAAGTGGTGGAACCCCTGGGAAAGTGAGGAGAGCCAAGAGGAGGATGTGGTGGGGATTCATGGTGAAGTGAACGAATGTTTTCCTTTTGTTACAAAGGAAAACAAAAACACAGCAACAGCAACCCCAGGCAGTGGGGCCGCCCCCGTTCAGGAAACGCTCAGGATGAGAGAATGTCCTCCCCTGAGCTTGTTGACACGGCTGGCAAGTTCCAGTGTAACTGAACTCAATGGGTCCGTGTCTTGGTGAGTGTGGAGCCGAAAAGCACAATCAAGGCTGAAGTGGATGAAGGAAAAAGGGTTAGTGCACAAGCCAAAGAGAACCTGGGGACAGTTCCCACAGCAGTGCCGCCCCCAGCTTCGTGCAGGTGGGCACTTTGTGCAGCACAGTGCAGAGGAGGTGTCACAGCTGTGTGACAACCGCCCCAGTGAGGGCACGTGCAGCCAGCTCGTACGAGCTCAGCGCAGCACGCCAGTACACAGCAGGTGCACGGTCACTTTTGGACACTTAGAGCTGGGGCAGTTGGCAGGGGTCCTGCTGCAGCCGTGTCTGTTTCACTGTAGGACGCTTCACTGTAGGGCAGGAACATCTGCAGAAATGAGGATGGCAGCTTCTGAAAAACAGCAGTTAGTTTTCTCCTTGTTTGGGAAACATTTGACAGACTATGTTTGATGCCAGCCCTGATTTCAGTTCCCCCATATTAAACCCAGCATGTGTGGGGTTAAAACGTAAGCACTCCTTCCCTGCTCCCTGGCTTCCTGGCTCCAGAGTTCACTATCCGCCATGGAGACAGACGGCCAAGGACAGCCACCTGGATTCCTTATCATCCTCCTTCCTGTGAGCAGCCCTACAAGGCCCAACACAGGCTGGCGGGAAAGCTCCAGCAAGGCCACGGACTACCCTCCCCCCCCAAAAACAGAGACTTCATTGCAACCTTTAAAACCCCTCGCCTCCCATATTTTGGGGAGACGAGAAGAGACGAGACCAATTTGAGGGCTCACTCTCGTCTCCCAGCTGATGTCACCTGAAATGAGAACCCTTTCCTTGTCAGAAGCCTGG